AAAAAAAAAAAAAGAATGCCAAAAAAAAAAATTCTCAAAAGCTACTCACTGCTTTAAGAATAAGAAACCCATTTTAAGTAAGATGAGAAGATTATTATTAGAAAATTATGAAATGATCTTTGATGCATGTCTTTTGAAAGTCATTCACTTTAATGTTCAAAAGTAAGGTGATACATTGTAATTGTTAGAGAGTTCTGCATCTTAGTGCAGGAATAATAATACATAATATCAGTGAACATTATTAATGATAAAAATACTATTTATAGCACCCTCTTATATGAATTTTAAATGTCATCTCTGATTCGCACAATAATCCCACAATATAGGTTCTAATATTCCTAATTTTCAAATAAGGAAACTAAGGCTCAGAGGACTTGAGTTACTTCCCAAGATCACTCAGTTAATGCTGGGCCGAGCTTGAAGTCTGGATCTAAAGCTTCTATATATATTCATTGTCCTCTTTATACTATCTCTGGCTTTTTCCTAGCAAAAATCATGAAGGCATTGCTTAATTTCATCATTTGTTACCTTGTCATAACATCAAAATGATGGGAACAGGTTTAACAAATATATAAATCAGCATAACACTAGCAGATGAAGAATGAGAATGAGAAGGAAAATAAAATTGGGGGCACCTGGGTGGCTCAGTCGGGTAAGCCTCTGACTTCAGCTCAGATCATGATCTCACGATTCATGAGTTCAAGCCCCACGTTGGGATCTGTGCTGACAGCTCAGAGCCTGGAGCCTGCCCCATATTCTGCGTCTCCCTCTCTCTCCTTGCCCCCCCCCCACTCTGTCTCAAAAATAAATAAACATTTAAAAAATTTTTTTAATTTAAGGAAAAAATCAAGCTGGGGACAAATTTAGTGTAAAAGAATGTGTGCCAGTGGTTCTGTATGTGGTTACATACACATACAGATCTAAAGATCAGTCATGGGAGGCAATCGTTATTAGGCACATATATTAAGCAAAATATAACAAAATGCATCTGGTATAAATGCTTGCTGAATGCACTTAAAAGTATTATCAAGCATTTCAGCCTATAAAATGTCAAGGTTGGGGTGCCTGAATGGCCCAGTCCATTAAGCATCTGACTCCTGATTTTGGCTTAGGTCATGATCTCACCGTTAGTGACATGGAGCCCTGAGCCCAGCTCTGCGCTGACAGTGTGGAGCCTGCCTGTGATTCTTTCTTTCTCTCTCTCTCTGTCCCTTCCCTGCGCGCATGCTCCCCACCCCTTGCTCTCAAAATAAGTAAATAAACTTTTTTGCTTTTAATGTAAGGGTTAGGAAGTCTGCAAAGAAAACGTTCACCAAATGTTAATTTGAGTCAAGTTCTTGATCAGTGGCCACAAATATTCAGACGTTCTACAAAATGGCCTAACAAAAAAAGAACACTTGTCCATGTGAAGATGACTTCCTGCTACGAATGTCTTAAAATTTGCAGCGTCCCAAGTTAGAATCTATTGGTGATTTTCCACCATTTTCTTCAGTGGCGAACATTCAGAGGCACACCTCTCTGAACCAGAGAGCCACTTACTCAAGGAGAAAAGAGGTAAAGACGGACGCGGGCTTACCAGGGGCAGCGTAGTAGCGTCTTTGAAAGACAAGCGACCTTACAAAAACAGGATCCAAATTTCCTTCAATTCGCATCACCGTAGGACTTCTTCAATCTTTATTCTTTTCCCAACTAGCGCACGAAATGGTGTTCAAGTGGAGAAACCAAAGTGTGGTTCCGATTTATCATTTCTCCCTTTTCCTTGGAGCAAAGATTCTGAGCAAGAACGTATGAACAAACCCAGCCGCTGACTGGAGTATGTAATTACATGGGCGCAGAATTTGCTCCATATAGCAGGTTAGCTCACACTTAGTAACGCAGTCAACCTGCTGGGCTGTGACTCAGTGCGCCCAGGAGATGACGATCGCTGTGTCTCTGCTCTGTAAGCCTCTGGTATCAACGAGCACAATCCCGGGGTGCTGTCTGGCTGAGGTCAGCTCCTCTGGCCCAGGTCCCAATACCACCAAAGGCTCGGGAATTAGACTTCCTGTAGGACAGAGCCCCTTTCGGGTCCCCCTTGCGCCTCGCCGTGTGCTATTTTCAGACTGCAACCGGAGAAGAGCCTGGGACTTCGGGAGGCACGCCGGGGCGGGGCCCGGGGAGCTACATTTTTGAACAACCGCCTCAGGTGCCCTGGCCGTGGGTGGTTCAAACACGACGTTTTCAGACACGCAGATGAACGGGGCGGGGCGGGGGCAAGAGTCAGCCTAGGGAGACTCGGGCTCAGTCCCGACGCATTCCCGCCGTAGAAATTCAAAGAGCGGGGGCGCCCTCGAGTCAGCCTGGGAGGCGCCTGCTACGCGGAAGCTCGCCCACGCCGGAGGCCAAGCCGACGCCGGCTGCCCCTCAGCCACAGGTCTCCGAAGCTCCGCGAGCGGCCGTCCCGGCGCCACCGGAGCCACAGGCGTCCCGAGCCCCTCGGCGCTCCCCGCCCGCGCGCCCGCGCCGCGCGGCGAATCCTGGGGGCGCAGGCCGGAAGCGCCGTCCGGACCCGCCCCTTGCCCGCCGGAGCCGGAAGTTGCGACCCCGGCCCGCACGTCGCCCCTCGCGGGCCGCGCCGCACCATGCTCCGTGGCCCCCCGCGCCTCCTCAAGGTCTCCGTGGCACCCGTCGCGGCCCTGGCTGTGGCGCTGCTCTCGTCGCTCTCGCGCTGCTCCCTCCTGGAGCCGGACGACCCCGCGGCCTCCGCGCTCAGCCCCTACTTCGGCACCAAGACCCGCTACGAGGATGCCAACCCCGGGCTGCTGCCGGACCCCGAGGCGCCGCGGAGGGACCCCGAGCTGCTGGAGGACGCCTGCACGCCGGTGCAGCTGGTCGCCCTCATCCGCCACGGCACCCGCTACCCCACGGCCAAGCAGATCCGCAAACTGCGGCAGCTGCACGGCCTGCTGCAGGCCCGCCCGTCCGGCGACGGCCGCGCTGGCCCCGCCGGCGGCCGCGACCTGGGCGCCGCGCTGGCCGACTGGCCGCTGTGGTACGCGGACTGGATGGACGGGCAGCTGGTGGAGAAGGGACGGCAGGACATGCGACAGCTGGCGCTGCGCCTGGCCTCTCTCTTCCCGGCCCTGTTCAGCCTCGAGAACTACGGCCGCCTGCAGCTGGTCACCAGCTCCAAACACCGCTGCGTGGACAGCGGCGCCGCCTTCCTGCAGGGGCTGTGGGAGCACTACCACCCCGGCTTGCCGCCGCCCGACGTCGCAGGTGACAGCCCGGGCCCGGGGCGGGGCCCCCTGCCTGGGTTCCTCCGCGCTCCGTGTCTTCCCCAGCCGCCGGCTCACCTCACCTCCCCCCCGTCTCCGGAGCCCCGGCTCCTCTCCGGGCTCCCCTCACCTCCCTCTGTGCCCCGGAGCCTCCGCCCCTCCTCGGACTCCGCTCACCTCGCCCGCCCGCCCCCACCCAGCACCCCTTCAAGACTTAGCGACCTCCGGCTTCCAGCACACATTCATTTGTCCTTTGATCATGTGTGGGCGGGACACAGCCGTAGGTGTTGGGGCGTTCGACCAGAAAGGAGACGGAGGGGGGCACTCTTTGATCCACCATTCCCTAATAGAAGTGCGCACCCTCTGAGCACCCACCTTCGCCTTTCCTCCCTCCCTGGCGTAGTCGCGCGCACTTGGTAAATACAACCTAGGACTTTTCTTCCTCGGGCTTTGCTTCTGATACTATTGGGTTGTTTTGTTTTGTTTTCCTTTTTACGTGCTGGTTCTTGACCCACATCCTGCTATAAGGAAGCTACTCTCAAACTTTCTTTACTGCTGTGCTTTTGATGAGGTTTTGGGCGATGGTGGGGTCGTCCAGAGCCTACGGCCAAGAAAATTCTTGAAGACGTCTTTGGTGCAAAAAGATGATTTTATTAAAGCAGGGGACAGGACCCGTGGTCAGGAAGAGCTGCACTGGGGTTGTGAAGAATGGCTGGTTTTATACTCCGGAGATGGGGAGATAAAGTCAAAAGGGAGGCCTCCAGAGGGACTTGGATGCTACAGAGGACTCCAGTCTAGCTAAGGTTGTTTCCTTTTAGCAAGGCATTAGCAGTAGGGGGTTCTGGAGTAATGTTCTACTCTGTATTTGTCTCCAGTATTTGCCCATGGGCTGCAGGTTTATAAAGAAATTTGATGTTACCTACCATTTCCTTCTGCCTTTGTTCCCCACATCACTACGGAGGAGGGTGTTGGGGCTCCAGGAAACTGAGTCTACAGGTTTCTGGAGATTATGCTGTCGATAAGATTTTTTCTTGTATTTACTAAGATATTTGTAAACTGATGGAGACTCCTGTCCCGTATGACTGTGATCTCTATCAGTTAGCCATTTGTTTCCTTTCCTGTCCTT